ACTCTCACTCACACACACACACACACACACACACACACACACCCATACTCTCTTACACACATACACACACACACATACTCTCTCTCTCACACACACATACTCTCTCTCTCACACACATATACTCTCTCTCACACACACACACATACTCTCTCTCACTCACACACACACATACTCTCTTACACACATACACACACATACTCTCTCTCTCACACACATACTCTCTCTCACACACACACACACACACACACACACACATACTCTCTCACACACACACGCATACTCTCTCACACACACACACATACTCTCTCTCACACACTCACACACACACACACACACACGCATACTCTCTCACACACACACACACACACATACTCTCGCACACGCATAAAATGCAATATTTCTTTAAATTCTATAATTCATATTCTATATCTTATAGACTACTTAAATCTGTTATTGTGCATATATCAAAAAATTCAACACTCTGTCTTCATTAACATTATTTTCTACATTTTTAGAATAATATTAAAGTGATGAAAACTATAAAATAACACAAATGGAAGTATGGGAATAACGTAGTGATGAAAACGTGACACAATGTGCAGTTGTTAAATTTTAACGTGGCCAAGAAACTAAAGCGTGTGCAAAATGCAAATCTAATTTTAAGTGTTTAAGCATTTAAGTAAATAGTTTTTCAGATTATGTGTGTCTGGTAGTGAAGCATTTTAGAGGATACTGAGATTATTTTCCCCTTTAAATCTTTATACATTTGTTTTCTTGCTTTCTTCCCTCTTGATGCCGCCTGGTTAAAGCGTTTCATGCCTTCTACGTGACCCGTCCTATTTTAAGATCCCTGTGTTGAGTTTGCAAACCCTGCAGAGCGTCCCGATCAATGTGAGACTGAACAGAAGTCAAGAAGACGCTCTGAGATGTCACTCAGTCATGTGTGCATCAGCTGCTCAGAATAGACCGCGTTTGTTCACTCTGTGTTGTGTAGAAACACACTGCAGATCTTCATGGATGTTAAATCACTCACGTCTCTCACTCAGGCATGCGGTGTGTATTTTCTACCTGGTTCTGCGAGCTCTGGACACAGTGGAGGACGACATGAGCATCCCGCTGGAGAAGAAAGTCCCGTTACTGCAGGACTTCCACACGTTCCTCTATCAGCCCGAATGGAGCTTCGCCGAGAGCCGAGAGAAAGACCGGCAGGTGCTGGAGGATTTCCCCACGGTCAGTCAACACAATGCATCACAACATCAAAATCTAAATCTTAGGAATTGTCTTTTGCAAAAAGAGAGTGAAACCTGTTTTAGGAGCATTTTTAGGAGTTTTTGCATTATATTGCATGCTTTTTGGCATTATGTGGATGATAATTAAAAGCATTTTATCCCCAAATTCTTATTGCTGTAACAAAGCAAGTATAACTCTCATTATTCTCAGCGATGATTCTTATTACTGTAACGAAATTATATATATATATATATATATATATGTTTAATAGCCGTTTTAATAATATAGAATTTTTGTAAATGTTATGTAAATGTAAATTATTAATTATTAGGGATGCATCGAAATGAAAATTCTGGGCCGAAACTGAAAAATTCTGGATGCACTTGGCCGAAAACCCAAACCGAAAATGCTTTGTAATAATTATTTATTATTTTATTAAATAATATAAAGTAATTTTGTAAGACTTTTTAATTTAACTCAATCATTGTAATGATACTGAATTTAAAAACCAAAAGCTAATAAAATAACCACACGTTTATTGTAAGTAATATAAGAGTATATTTTTATTCAGTTCTATGCAACAGAATCCGATCTAACTGTTTTTTTTTATTTTTATTATTAATTATCCAAATAATATATAGTCTTACAAAGCTATTATTATCAGAGCATGTGAGCAGAGCAGTGAACGAGAGGGGTATTTATTTTCGCGCTCCATATATTTTCGGCTCATATTTTCAGCCATTTTTCTCTTTTGTCCGAAAACCGAAAATGCCATTTTCGGCCGATAATTTTCGGCGGCCGAAATTTCGGTGCGTCCCTATTAATTATATATGTATGACTATAACTGTCATTGTTCTCAGTAATTATTGTTATTACTGTAATGAACATTTTACATTGTTACATTTAAAAAAAAAAAATATATATATATATATATATATATACACACTCACACGCACAAAATCTATTCACATGTACTATAATATAATATAATGTTTAATACATTTTATAATAATAATTTAGTACAAGAATGGCCATTTATGTATAAATCTATTAATATTAAAAAAAATATATAAAAAAAACATTAAATAAGACCTTTTAATTATTTACATTTTGAAAAAAAAAAAAAAGCCTTTTTATCAGAATTTTTATTTTTATTTTTTATTATTATGGGGTGAAAAAGTCCTGATGTGAACCCCTGGTTTCGTGTGACTCACTGAAACAGCAAAGAAGCAGTGGAAATGTATTTTTATTTTGACAAACCAACTTGAACTTGTTGAGCCACGTTTCTTCATTTTGTTGTTTTGCTGCTTTTGTAAAATTCTGCATTTTTAATTCCACTTCTGCTTTTACTAGCTTCTCTGTTGTGCATTACTTTATGCTTTTTTGTTTTTATTTTATGCTTTTTTTAATACACACATTTGTTCTGTTTTCCTCAGATTTCGGTGGAGTTCAGGAATTTGGGCCAGGAGTATCGTGACGTGATTTCAGACATTTGTCACCGGATGGGTGTGGGAATGGCCGAATTCCTGGAGAAGAAGGTGTCTTGCATGAAGGAATGGGACAAGGTAAACTTTACAGGTGTATTTGACGTGTTGGTTTGATGTTAATCCATCTGCATGTAGATTTATATGCGTATAACTCCTCAGACCGATGCAGAAGAGCTCTCGTTGCATTTTAAAGCATGTCTGACATTCTGCATGAGACGTTTGTCATGTATAATGTTGTAAACGTCTCTCTGGCTGTGTACAGTACTGTCATTATGTGGCGGGTCTGGTGGGGATCGGTCTGTCCCGTCTGTTCTCCGCGTCCCAGCTGGAGGATGCTGAGGTGGGCCGGGACACGGAGCTGGCGAACTCCATGGGTCTGTTCCTCCAGAAGACCAACATCATCAGGGACTATCTGGAGGACCAGCAGGAGGGAAGGGCTTTCTGGCCGCAGGAGGTACAAGCCTTTAACCCTGCTCTCGTCCCGTTCCTGATGCGCTTCCATGACCGTGTTGTAAATTTGCAGTAAAAAATGGCAGCTTTGGTTTCCGAAACTTTACCAAATACAGTAGCAATATTTTAGGTTTTACGGGACTGAACTTAAATTTATGGTATTTCATTAACTGATATAATGTTAATATTCCATTTAGAGTAATAAAACATGTTTATTATAAAACGGAGAGTTCCGGTGCTTGATTCTGATTGGCTGAGCCGCATTCAACGCTGTTGTAAATTACTCTACAAAGTAACACACACCTTTGTTTACTTCTGTGTGTTGCAACCGCTTTGTTGCAACCACAACTGATTCTGAGGCGCTACATTGTTTGGTGGAAGAATACTGTTTTTATTAATATCATTACACTTTATTTGCTCTGTTTTATTTTGTGAAACCTTACTACGTATATGGAATAACCGTTTTATAAAAGCAATAAGCCCCATGAAGCCGTGGTTTACAGTGAATTTATAACAGCTAAGGGGTTTTTAGACAATCCGCTTCGCGTCGTAACAACGCCCTTAGCTGTTATAAATTCACTGTAAACCATGGCTTCACGGGGCTTATTGCTTTTATAAAACGGTTATTCCATATTGATTTATTGTACCAGTGGTATTTTAGTATCATTGATATACCATTATAATTTTTGTTAATATTTTGAAGTAGATATTATTTTTATATTGTCTATTTTTATTTTAATTTTAGTTAAGGTTTTAGCAATTTAGTTTGTTAGTTTTTTTTTCTAAGTATGTCTGTTTATTTAGTTTTAGTCTTTAGTCATTTTAGTACTTAAACTAAACAAAAATGAAAAAATTTTGAAAAAAGTTTTAACATTTTTATATTTTATTTTATTTTATTTCAGTTCATGTTTATTTTATTTCAAGTAATACATTTTTTTATTCATTGTTTTTGTTTTATATTTTCAGTTTTAATTTTAATTGTAAAGTTTTAGTCATTTTATTGTGTTTTTGTCTTTTTTTTGTATGTGTGCATATTTTTTACTGTGTTTTTGTAATTTTATTTATTTATTTATTTAAATAGGTCCATATTTTTTTATAAAGTTTCAGTTTTGCGTTTAAGTTTTAGTTTGAATTGCTGTAGTATTTGAACTTAAACTAAATGAAAAAAATTAGAAATATTGATTTGCATCTAGCTAAAATAGGTTTAATATTTTTATATTTTATTTTATTGTATTGTATTTCAGTTAATGTTTATTTTTATTTGAAGTAATGACATTTTTATCATTTTAGTTTTATATTTTGTTTTTATATTTTCCTTTTTTAATTTTGGTTAAAGTTTTAGTAATTTTGTTGTGTGTTTTTGTCATTTTTTTATATGTCTATGTACATGTATATTATTTGTGTCCCTGGAGCGCAAAAGCAGTCTTAAGTCGCTGGGGGATATTTGTAGCAATAGCCAACAATACATTGTATGGGTCAAAATTATTGATTTTTCTTTTATGCCAAAAATCATTAGGATATTAAGTAAAGATCATGTTCCAAGAAGATATTTTGTACATTTCCTACTGTAAATATATCAAAAATGTGTTATCATTAGTAATATGCATTGCTAAGAACTTTCAGATTTTCTCAACATTTAGATTTTTTTGCACCCTCAGATTCCAGATTTTCAAATAGTTGTATCTCAGCCAAATATTGTTCTATCCTAACAAACCATACATCAATGGAGAGATTATTATTCATCTTTCAGATGATGCATAAATCTCAATTTAAAAAAATGGACCCTTATGACTGGTTTTGTGGTCCAGGGACACATATGTCAATTATTAAGTTTTTGTTGTTGTTTTCATTTATTTAGTTTTATTTAGGCCACTCAAAATTCTAAATAATAATAAAAAAATATTATTGAACAAAAATAGAAGTTACATTTCAAGGCTTTTGACTGCGAAGCTAGCAAGTGTGACCCACAAATGAAGGGCCCAGAGGGTTCAAATCCCGATCATGTTTTACATGCATGTGTGAATGAATGCTGTTTCTGCTCCGCAGGCCTGGAGTCAGTTCACGGCCCGTCTGGAGGATTTCTCCCATCCTCAGCACCTGAGCTCCGCTCTGTCCTGCCTCAACCTGCTGGTGACCGACGCCCTCCGCCACGTCCCAGACGTCATCGCATACCTCTCCCGCCTCCGCAACCAGAGCGTCTTCAACTTCTGTGCCATTCCTCAGGTCTGATTCATTTCTGACACCGAACGCTGAACCTTCATCTGTTTATGTGGAGTTCAGCGGGGTCAGGTCTCACACAGAGATAGTGCAATGCAAAGTTATCTAATGCTATAAGGGTGCAGATTATAGAAATGACACACAGATGAATGCATGGTTTTAAAAATGCATTCCACTGTGCTGCTTTACCGTAGTTTTTCTATTCAAACATGCGCTGGATGCACTGTTGTTATCATTAACTAAAACTAAAATTGCTAAAATTATTTACATTAATTGAAAAAAGAAGCTAAACAAAATATAATAAATAAAATGTTTAATCTTGTTTCAGTTAGCTGCGAAGGCAAAATAAAAAAAGGCAAATTAAATTTTTTTTGATTAGTTTAAATTGAAGTACAAACATGGCCAAAACTAAAATAAAAATTTACAAAAGCTAAATAGACATAAATAAAATTGACTAAAACTCAAAACAAAACCAACACAAACAAAATAACTAAAACTATAACTTAAGTTGAAAATGTGAAATATAAAAATTAATTAAAAAAACTTAACTTATTTTATTTCAGTTGTGAAAGCAGAATTTCTCATTTGTTTGAAGTTGAAGTACTGCAGTTACTAAAATTAAAACTGAAAGAAAAATTAATAATAACTAAATATAAATGTTATTTTTTTTAAAACACAACAAAACTACAAAAACTTTTAAAGTAAAATTAAAAATAAAAACTAATTCAAAATAGAATATAAAAAAGTACACTTATTTTATTTCAGTTACAGATGCAGAATTTCTTATTTCTGTTTAGTTTAAGTTGAAGTACTAAAATTACTCAAACATAATAAAATAAAATAATAAATAAAATAAAATAAATAATTAATAAAAACTAAAAAGACATTAAAAAAGAAAAATGACTAAAACATAAAAATATTACAAAAACATTAGCTAAAATGAAAATGGAAAATATAAAAATAAAAACTTAATCAAAATAGAATATAAAAAAACTTAAACATTTTATTTTTAGTTACGAAGGCAGACTTTCTCATTTTTGTTTAAAGTGCTAAAATCACTAAAACTAAAACTGAAATAAAAAATGTATAAAAACTAAAAAGACAGTAAAAATCAAAAACTAGTAAAAAAAAAAGACTAAAGCATACGACAAAATTACTAAAACAAATTAAAATGAAAAAGGGAAAAAATATATAATAATAATAATAATAAATTAAAAAATAATAAAAGCTAAAAAAGACAATAAAAAAATTTAAAACTAATAAAAAAAGACCAAAACACAACAAAATTACTAAAACTAAAATGAAAATTGAAAATATAAAAATATTTACATGCATATTTAAACCAACACAACTAATAAAAGTACTAATGAAAATACATACTAAGATAGTAAAGACACTAAAATAACAGTGATGGAAAGCTCTCCTGTTGCTGACTGTTATTATGGTGCTTTCCTCCGCTCAGGTGATGGCGATAGCGACTCTGTCGGCGTGCTACAACAATCCTCAGGTGTTTCAGGGTGTGGTGAAGATCCGGAAGGGTCAGGCCGTGACGCTCATGATGCAGGCTACAAACATGTGCGCCGTCCAGAGCATCATCGCACAGTACAGTCAAGAGGTGCGTCCTGAAACACAGTTCTGTCAAGACAACTCTCGGAGGGATTGGTGTAACCCCTCTCTCCCGGGTCCTCTCTGCCACACCTCGTTCTCGCTCCGAGTGGGTCTCCGGCATGGGAGGCGGACGCACTAACAAGGAGGCTAAAGACTGTAGTCTCTAGCATCAGTCACTAGTGCGTCTCTTGAGATCAGGGGAGTGAGGTTTACCTGCACAGCACTTACTCGCTGGCCTCCGTTACATTGGCATGTTAATGTACATGACAATGTTAATGTATTTGGTATTGGCGGAATAGATCTGCTACGCTGCTGCTGTGGCACATCATGCACAATACAATACATCCACAACATGCTGCTGTGAGCATGTAAGAAATACTGCTGCTGCACATATAACGTACATGAAATAACCCCCGTATAGCATACATGAATCACTTCGTAGCAGATCTATACAGGTGGAGCTGGGGAAGGTGGAGGGTTTCTGAAGCACGCTGCAACTGCTACAAGCACTAGTCATATATTTGAATGTTGAGCAGCGAGCTCATTGGCTACCGATACAGGAAAGAACCAATCAGCTGTGCCATGTGATAATGATGTCTAATAATGAGTTAGACCTATCGGACTGCGCCATCTAGAGTTTCATGCCAGAACTCTGTATTTCACCGTCCTCCGTACTGCAGCCGTTTACTCCGGTAATCCTCATCTCCCCACAGATCCTGCAGAAGGTTTCCGTCACAGACCCGTCCCGGGAGAAGACTCTGTTTATCCTGAGTGTCATCCGTGAGAAGAGCCTGTCTCCAGCCGTGCTGTCGTCCCGCGCGCACCACATCTCTCCGGTCTACGTCTCGGCCGTCATGCTGTTAGCGGCACTCAGCTGGCAGTATCTGAACGCCACGGCCGGGCAGCCACCAGGGGGCGCAGACATGCATGGACACTGAGACCACACCCTCCGACTGCCCAAAAACTGCCAGACCAAAATGCTTGAAAAAGGCATGAGTTTGGGATGTTTAGTTTTTTTTTTTCTATTTTGCTAAAATTTGTTCAGGTCATTTTCACCCCATAATCAAAAACATAAATAAATAAATATGAAAAAAATTATATATACACTACCGGTCAAAAGTTTGGGATCAGTTAGACTTGTAATGTTTTTTAAAGAAGTCTCTTCTGCTCATCAAGGCTGTATTTATTTGATCAAAAATACAGAAAAAAACAGTAATCTTGCAAAATGTTATTACA